GGGTCTTTCCCCCCCCCTGCCCAGGTGACCAGAGCATCGCCTCCCAGGCGCCAGGCTTTTGTCTGCAGACAAGGAGCGAGATCCCCGCTGTGAGAGATTCAACAGCAGCCTCTCAGGCTGGCTGAGACAGATCTCTGGAGAGGGGCACCGACGGGGGCATTTCTGCCACACCTTCCAGCCTTAATTTTCTTTGATCTTATTATAACACACAGCTCAGGCTGCCGGGAGGCATATTGTGCCTTTCCAGCAAAACTCAACTGTCCTGAATGCCAAGAAAGGAAGAAACTAAAGTCATTCCAAATTCAATGCCTGGCAACTCAGAACTGCAGGAATAAGGCCCACATCCACACACCCATAACAATTGCTCTAGGCCATGCATGTACTCCAGCTACTTTTGCTGGGCTGTAATGGAGTAGGGGAGGGATGAGCTGGAGCAGCTCAGTAGCACTGTGATCATGTAAGGAGAAGCACCTGGTGTCCCTCCCTGATGTCACACCCAAAGGCCCTCAACCTGCCCTGACCCCCTCCTGCTGCTGTGGCACTCCGCTCCCTCCCCAGTGTCCATGCATGCCTTCAGATACTATGAACCTATGGATAGTTCCCTCCATTAAACCCTTTGCACTCCCAAAACCAATGAACATATGTCTAGACTCTCTCTCTCTCTCTCTGTGTCCAGACAGTGGGCATCGATAGGGGACATGGAGAGATGTTTCTGTCCCTACTCCACCCTCCTCCTCGACCCTCCATACACCTCAAAAGTTTGAGGGTCCATGGTAGTGGTGTGAGGAATGTACCAGCTGGAGGTAGCAGAGTGGAGATGCAGATTAGAAGTGTGCTGCTGTGTTGGCAGAGTCCATCCTGGGAGTACATGGTATATAGCGGGAGAAGAGGTTTTTGCTACACCCTCCTCCTGAATGACATGAGCTAAGCTCGCACCAACCCTGTTCTGCCAGCCAAACTGCATCCATACTGGGGATATGGAGGTATAGCTACACTGCTGGGGGTATATGTGTGATCTTTTCATGCCCCTAGCTGACATCCCTAGGCTGGCAAAACTTGGTAGTGGAGACCTAGTGTAAGGGCCTGTGTGCACCTGTGCTGCACAGGAGGCTGAGAAGTGTGAGATGGCCCATTTGCCTCCATGAGATGCTCTCAGCTGAAGGAGAATACCCCATGGAAAGGATTGCAGCCTGAGACAACAGTAATGAGTGCTCCATCCATCTCCTTGGCTGTCCTCATGCCCTCTCACAACTCCCAGCCAGTGCTTGAGAACTTGTGGTATGCACCAAGCATGCCTGTTCTCAGCTGCCCACCCAGAGAAGCAGGGCTCTGACCCAACACACAGAGGGACAAAAAGAAGGACCCTAAGATCCTGGCACAAACATAAGAAGAGGAGAGGGGCTCAGGCTTCCTCAGAGGGGCAGTGCCGCTCCCCACATATCCTGGTTCTCACGGGGCATTGAGAGGTCCTTACACTCCCCCAGGAGGAGGCAGGCCTCAGCTTAAAAGGTGATTTAAAATGACACTCAGATGCTCCTTAGGCAGCCCCACTTCTGATCCCAGCACCCCAAGGCATCCAGAACCCTATAGCAGCTGAGGCTCCTGATCCAGGCACACACAAACAGGCTCAGGGAGGGGGGCTTGGCCCCATTAAAGGGGGCAGGACCTCCCTCAGGGCCTGGTTCACACATAGAAGAAACAGGAGGGGCTCAGACACCCCCAAAAGGGGCAGGGCCTCCCCAGCTCCTGGCATGCACACACCCATAGGAGGGGAGAATTCGTATCTGACAGCCCTGCCAGTCCCTAATGCCCCCATTCACCCTGCTACACACCCTCATGTCTGCCCCTTCCAATCACTGGAGACACCTCCTGGCCTCCCCCCATTTCTATCCCATCACCCACCCCTTTCATCCCCTCTCCCAATTCTCCTCTTCCCCAGCCAAGACCCTAAACCCCTCTCTCTTGGCTTGATTTGAAGAAATGCTGTTATTTTTTTCTTTTTCAGGGGGCTGTTTCTCAGCCACTCCTTTCTGACCATGACTTGAGGTCTGGATCATTATCCCACAAGGTACAGCTCATTTCAAGACATTATTGGGAGCAAATAGGCTGATAGGAGACCACTTAGAAGATTCATCTCTTCAAGAGAAAGGACTTCTCTGCACCTGTAGTAAAAAAGTGGCTTGGCTACAGCCACCCAGAAAAGCTGTGGCAAAGCTAAGCTCAGCCTATTCTGAGCCCATAACTGTGCTCAAGCATCTAACCCTTGCCACCCCTGCAAACCGCTGGCAGGGTTCTGGACCTTTGCTGTAGAAAACTGCAGTGATTTCTTAAGTAGTGGTTGCAGGGGAGTTATCTTGGAGGCTGTAAGGGATGCCCAGGGTGGAAGGGTGAAGAGCTAGAGTGGGGTCTATAACACCTGTAAGCACAATGCCAAGCTTAGGGCCCGCCTCCAATTACTCAATCGCAGCAACTCCTGCCCCACACCCAGTAAAGAAAGTGATTCTTGGAATGAAGCTGCCCCAAACTGATGTCTTGCAAGGGGGCAGTTACAAAAGGGGGAGTGTGAAAGTCCTGAAAGGGGAGAGGGATTCAATGGTTAAGCTTTGCTTTCACCCAGAGCTTTACACTTTTGACACAACCCCTGAGATCTGGAAGCAGCTGCCCCAGAGCTACACCCTCTCTGCTCACCTGGGTCACACTCCAGCCCCTGCTTTGTGTCTATAAAGCCCCAGCCCCACAGCCTCCCTTTCTATAAAAAGTAATTGCTCAGTAGGGCTTCTCTGTTGGCTGTATAGCCATGAGGCTGGGCTATAGGTGTTTGGTGGCCTTAGTGCTGTTCTTCCTGAGGACAGCTCGGAGTCAAGATGCCTTCCTCAGGATCAGCTTCTCAGTCTTGCAGCACAGGTATGACTGTGGTGACTATGGGATGCAGCTGGTGGTCTACCCCAGCCAGGGCTACACCATCCACTTTAAAGTTATGGGTAAGTTGAGAGGATGCCTGCTTGGCTTTGTGCACATGCATGATAAAGGTTTTTTCTGAGCCACCTGTGGAAATCCCTTAAGAATATCATATGCAAGGAATTTTCCCTTCCCTCTTTGTTCCTGCTCCAGTCTTTTTGCTGGCCTGTAAATCTTCAGGCTTCTTAAGACACATGTGCCTTCCTACTTTGAGGTTTCTATCTCCTTGGGAAAACCCTGGGGTTGCCTGTCTGTCTACAATAATGTTAGCTGTAAAAATGACTTGCAATAGCCTCTTTTGTGAGCTGATGCTGAACTGAGGGCCTGAGGAGACTGTAAAAGTATCCCCCTCAAACCATGGCTTGGCATCTCTTTCTTGGTGGAAGTTGCCCTTCTGCAGTCTGGACACCTGACACTGCCACATTTACCTCCAGGTTGTAATATGCCAACATGTGAAGGCAGTGCTGTGCCTGCTATTTGAGGCTGTCGCCCATGGCTGTAAGATGGTTGGGTAATGGGCCCCTTCCCTGTGTCTTGGGAAGGTGTTGAGCAGATTGCAAGTCTGCTGCCTCGAACGTTGTGACAAACTGCGGTCCCCGCTCCAAGCATAATTGCCGGAGGAGGACACTTTCTGAAGAGCTTTTCCTCTTAACTATAATGAACGTGACTTTCTTTTCCCAGATGAGTTTGGGACGTCTTTTGAGGTTACAAACTGCTCCATCTGCCTCCACTGGATCACAACAGGCTGGGATGGAGCTGTGGTCTTCTCCACTGGTTATGATGGCTGCCATGTGCTGAAGAAGGTGAGGTGGCTGGCACACCCGAACCCTACACATCCAAGCAACTACAGTAGCTGTCCTTGCAGCCTCTGCAACTGGGGACAGAACTTACCCCACTAGATGATGATGCTCCTTTTGCTTTCTCTGCAGGATGGTCGTAACTATCTGAGGGTCCATGTAGAGGAACTGCAGAGCACTGGGGAAATTGCTACCACCCTCAATGTCAATATGATCTGCCCTAAACCTACTGAGCATGACTCAAGTTCTGAGGAAAACGTGCATTCTCTGCCTCGGCCCAGCCTCCAGCACCCAGCACCACCACCTGGATTGGTGCGCCTGGTGCCAAGCAATATAGGTAGGCATGATTTTTTTCTGTGGGGTGTGTAGATCTGCATCTTGTAAGCGGTTGTATGGGAGTCTTATGATGTGGTGGTGAACAGGGGACCTGCAGACAATCTAATGCTCATGGCTACCATCCCATATTGTACAGACCATACTCCCAACACCCACACTCTAAAATGTTGGTTACCTGAAGGACAAAATGCATCTTAATCTCAAAGTGTATGTGGAGGGGGCCATCTACCTTCAGGGTTTTGAAGCTCTAGGGAGAAGCCTCTGCCCCAAAGCATGTGAGGTTTCTTGTTTTTGTTTTAAGAAGGCACGCCCAGCCTCGGGGGCAAGTAAAAGCATTCCCCTCTGAATGGTTGAGCAGAGGGGTGTCCCATCTTTATTAGGATATGGGAGCTCCTAAATCTATCCCTTCAACTGCCCCATACTGCTGTGCCCCATGCATCTCTTTCCATAAGAACTCTATTTCTCACCATCCTTGTATCCTAATAGTACCTGGCTTCCACAGTGTGGAAGCCATTGAGGGGTGGCTGGTTTGTTTTCCCACTAAAGATATTAAAGTGACTGCACAAAATGTGAGGTGGCAGCCATCTTTTATTAAGAGCAGCCTCACTTCCACATCAAAACAAGCTGTAAGCAAACAGCTGCCATTCTGAGAGCATTAGTTATCATTGAGAGGGGTGGGAAAGGCATCACCTGAAGTAAGGGAAAACTTAACGAGTTGTCAGTCTCTTTTCTCGAGTCATGAGTCTGGCATTAAAATTGACCGCAAAGTACAAGAGTCCCCATACAACTTGGGAGTTGGCCATGCTATGGATTCTTACAAAGAGGCTGTATAAAGCTTTAGGGGTGCTGGAATTTGGGACTTGCACAGAGATCCCAAAAGTATTGGGGAGAGCACACTGTGGCCCCTGTGAAGAACTCTTGCTCACTGGTCTCCAACCTACTCTCCCAGGGTCCCACCTCACATGGCAGCAGTGCCAAGTGCCAGCTGGCAAGATCCCATGTGCAGATACCCCAGGCCGAACTGCTTGCTTGCAGGCTGGCTGTTGCTATAATGAGATGGACCGAGTGACTCCCTGCTACTATGGTAACACAGGTAAGAGGAGACCTGCCCTCACATCAGCTCTTGGAGCCTGTTGCTATGTCTGTCCCAGAAGTCTGGTGACAGACTTTTCTCCCCATTGTGGTTACCACCCACCGGTGTGATTGAAGGAGCTTTGACCTAAGCTACTGCTATAGAACTCTCTTCTCCAGTGGGGTCACTCTTCCCACCATACCTCTTATTCGGGGCTGCAGCAACCACAGACCTGGGGAGTTGGGGAGTTACCTCCAAGAACATGGTCAGTCTGTCTCATCACTGTTGATCACTTCATGACAAATATCTAGATAAAACGCCAAATGTGTGTTGGAAGAGGAGGAACAGTTGACTAGTATAGGTTGGCATTTATCTGACTGGTAGATAACTCCAGTATCTATCACCTATGACAACAGTTCATCTTCATGTCTGAGAAGGCAGGTGGAGTATACCCATTCCTGCCCTAGAACCTTAATTTTAAGCTTTTATGGCATGGACCTCTCCTGAGACCGAGGGAAATGCTGCCCAAAACCCTACAGCATGAGAACTACACTGTCTTGGTTGGTGCTTGTTGGGGTTTTTTAATAAACCTGATCAAGTGCGGTCCATGCAACAGGATGCGTTTTTTTTGCCTTGCCTTGCCTTGTCCCAGCTCCCTCTTAGCCTGGAGTTCCTGTATTTACTCATGTTCCCTTGTGTTGCAGCCACAGTTCAGTGCCTCATGGATGGCCACTTCATTCTAGTGGTCTCCAGAGAGATGTCTGAGTACCCCATCAAGCTGGATACTGTCCGATTAGCTTATGCCCAGGCAGAATGCAATCCCATCCACGTGACGGAGGCTTTTGTGATGTTCCGATTCCCCTTCACACAATGTGGCACCACAGTCCAGGTAACAACACCTGAAAGCCAGGGAGAGTGCTCTCCTTGCCCTCTCAAGAAGGGCATGATCTTCTCCTATATCTTTATCTTTTTACCAGTTGACTAGAAGCAAACTGATTTATGAGAACCAGCTGATATCCAGTATTGATGTCAAGAATGGACCATATGGTGGTATCACCCGAGACAGCATCTTTATGTAAGCTTGCTTGGCTTCCATGTGAGAGTGGGGAGAAGTCCTACAACTTGCCCCACCTGGATCAGGGGTGGGAGTGGGAGGACTTTTTTTCCCTTTCCTCTTTTCTACTCGCCTCCCAGATTGAGGCTTTGGGCTCTCCTACAGCCTATCCTATCCTCTGTGCATCCCAAGAATTTTGCAGGCTCCAGATAAATATCCTGGAGTTGGTGATGATATAGACCTTCTCTGCATACCAGGAATGCAAGTGTCTCTTAATCCAGAGGGAACAGTATCTAACTGACTAAATAGGTTTTCCTGAATGAGGAAACCCTTTGCTCTTAGCCAATCTCAAATGGCATTTGTAATTTAAAGCCAATTCAAGTAAGTCAACCTCCTCTTATTTCTCCTGAGATGGCCATCTCAGGAGAAATGAGGCACTTCTAACTCAATGGGGCTGGGGCAGGTGGAACACCACTCCAAGGTGTTGTCCAAACTAACATAGTAGCCCAGGGAACATCTCTGGATGCGGCTTCTCCACATCCTGGCTCCTGCTCTAGTGACAGGACAAGATCACTTCTGGGGTCATTCTGGACTGACCTAGCATCCTACTGGGTATCCTAACTCTCTCTCTGTCCTGCACAGTCTTCATGCTCGCTGTATCTTCAACACCAGTAACTTCCTGCCAGTCCAGGCTGAGGTTTCCTTGCCTCCCTCGCTTCCTCCTGTGTCAGAGGCTGGGCCCCTGCTGCTTGAGCTGCGTATTGCCACAGGTAGGGGATGCCTCCCTTCTACACCCTGCAAGATCTACATTCTTTGAGGAGCCCACAAGAGTCTCAGCTCTGGCCACATTTCTCACAGATGAGACCTACAGTACCTACTACGTGGATGGAGAGTACCCTGTGGTGAAAGTGCTCAAGGACCCTGTTTATGTGGAGGTTCGCACCCTGGAGAGAACTGATCCATCCCTGGTTCTAGTTCTAGAGAAGTGTTGGGCCACCCCAAGTGCTAACCCCTTGGAGCAGCCACAGTGGCCCATCCTGGTGAATGGGTAAGTGGTGAAGAAAGGAGCATACATTTGGGAGGAGGCGGGGGGGCACAGTTTCTAGGATCATAGTTTTATTTGTCTGTTTTGCTCTCAGGTGCCCATTCATGGGAGACAACTACAGAACCCAGCTGGTGCCCACAGGATCTGCCTCCTCTGAGCTACCCTTCCCTACTCACTACCAGCGCTTTGTCATCTCTACCTTTGCCTTTGTTGACACGGCCTCCACAGTGGCACTTGGTGGACCAGTAAGAGGAGGCCTGGCTGTCATTGAAGGGGGAGCATATAAGAGTTCTTATTCCAGTGGTCACTTGTCACCTCTGCTTTTTTGCTTTTTAAAAAAAGCTTACTCCCGTGCATGGAACACGTGTCCAATGCACTTTTGGGTGGAAGTGCATAGAATGGATGTTTCCATGGGGACAGTAGGATCAAGCTTAATTATCTTGATCCTGTTGGCCACCACCCAGAAGTAATTACTGGCCTCTTCTGTCTTTTGCTTTCACCATATGATTTAAAGTGATGGTAGTATTTGCCTTGAGTACATCATCCTGTGAATTCCATAGGCCTTTGTCATATGCCTGATCAGTGGCCTGCTGATGACCCAGTGTCTAAAGATGTGGAGAGTAATGTCCTAGCTTCTGCCAGCTAAGCAGAGAGCTCTGTAGGGTTTGGCTCCTCACTAAAGAGGACATCCCCTTTTTTAGCAGCAGTTGCCCATAGCAGTGTAGCAGCATAGCAATGCTAGGTACAAGTCTGCCACCCTCCCCATGTGTGTTCCTTGGGTTCTTACATGGATGAGCTTTTATATCCATCCCAGTGCATGACACCACTCTGTGGAATCTGTTCTGATCAAGTACTTCCCCTTTACCAATACCTGGCCAAGAAAACAAAAGCCCTAGTCTGGCTAATTGGGCTCTCCAGCAAGAAGCAGTTGGGCCTGAAGGACCCAACCTCTTCTCTCTCTTTTCTGGGTGCTACATACGGACAGATGAATTGGCCACAAGCCCATAGCCCCCTGTGACCCACAGCAGGATTGGCCCATCACTCACTACCTCTGTTCCAACTTGTGTGGGTTTCAGGTCTACCTCTTCTGTAGTGCCTCTGCCTGTCATCCTTCCCAGCTGGAGCCCTGCAGACCCATATGCAGCAATCCCCAACTGGACAGTAAGTTGGAGTGGCTTTCTCTATCTGCTGGTGGCTAGGCTCTATTCTTTATGTGCTAACCCTTCCCTATCAAAGTGGAGGACCTGATGCTGTGTTAGAGCTCTACCTGTCCCAGTACATGCATCACAGTGGAAACTTTAGTCAGGCTTCCTGTTCTTGCTAAGCTCCAGGTGTAAAGTAGCTGGCTTAACTGTATGCCTAGGGATGATTACATTGTGGTTATACATGAAATATTCCATAGCCATTGGGCTCTCCAGAAGGGAATCGTAATGCCTTGTATTGCTGCTGAACCTGTCCCTCTATTCACTTGCTCCTATAATCTTGAGAAACTGATTCCTGAAAATCTGACTTGCTTCTGATTTGAATACAGCTGTCCCATTGGGTTGGACAAAACAGCTTGATAGACTCCCCTATCATGAATCTGCAGGGCATTTTGCACTCTAGACATCACTGAAGAGTCCTCTAGTTGCAGCTGCTAAACTCTCCCATCCATCTTCCAGGAGTCCGACGGTATCTGAATACCAACAATGGGACAGAAAAGCCCTTGGACCTGGTGAGTTCTCATGGACCTGTGATCTTCCAGGGGATCCATGAGCCACGAAGAGAGAGAGTCTATGAGAATGAGGGTGAGTTATCCTTCATGATCCAATAGACAGCAAATGTGTTCCAATAGCTTGGAATACAACACATCAACACTGTCTAATTTAGGTTTTAATCAACATTTTGAAAGAAGCCTCAAGGGAGAGGGGGGTGATAATTTTAGGTAGAGATGACCCTTCCTTGAGTGGAGGAGTTTCAGTAGATCAATGGTTCCCAACCTCTCTCTATTTATTTTTATATTGTGGACCAGCATGGGAGCGTGCCAGAGTGCATGGAGTTGGCTGCTTCCCTCCCGGGGCTGCCCCACCGCCCAGTTTTCACCCCACATGACTGCTGGTGGTTGAAGCCACTTGCCCAGGTGGACAGATGGGCATTTGATCGGGTGGCTTGTTCCACAACCTGGCAGCCAACCCTTCATGGCCTGGTACTGGGCTGCAGCCCAGTGGTTGGGAACCTTTGCACTAGATGACCTCTTTCCAGCCCTACTTCTCTATGATACGGGGCACATCTACATGTGCCACAAAGGTGCTGTTGTTACTGCATCATCACTTTAGTACTTCCTTTTGGAAGTACTAAAAGATGGCACAGTAACAGCCCATGCTGCACCATGCCTCCGCACAGCTATTTTTAGGCACTACATCACCCATAGTAATGTGCTATACTGAGGGAGCATGTCACTATGGTGATGGAACTGTGGCATTGCAGGCTTTTGCCCATGGGTGCTACGTCGCTGTAGCAGGTTGCTATGGCAACATAGCATCACATGTAGATGTGCCTACATATGAGCAAAGGGGACTGTCTCTTTGTAAGAGACCTTACAAAAAGACTGGCTACTTGTCTGAGCTCTCCCACGTGTACACAATTTCTTTTTCTCTTTGGGCGGGGAAGAAAAAATGGCTCCTCAGCCTCTTCAAAGGGTAAAAGAAGCGAGCTTGTGCAACTCTTCACAAATTCTGAACAGTGACTTTACAACTCAATTTCCTTGGCTTGTAATACACGGGAGTGCCTATCTCTGTTCTAGTCGAGCATCTCAAAGTTGGATCCTCCAAATGGGACTGAAGTTACCACTTCATCTCTTCCCAGAGGTGCTGCTGCTGATGGCCTGGGTTGGAGCATTGCCAACCAATCCCTGTTAATGGGTAGAAGGAGGGTAGTACTAAAGCAGGTGTATCTCATTATCCCTGCATTTACACCATTCTACTCAGTATTGGCTCTGCCTCTTCTTGTCCCCAGATGTGGTCTCCAGAACACACCCAAGCCCTGTATTCCTGGGTGCACTTGCTCTACTGGTGGTGACTTTGCTCATAGCTCTACTGCTACTCTACAGGAGAAGAGGTGGGATGATGACCAGGACCCAGAGTCTTTGAGACTTTCTCCTATTTTACAGTGATCAGAAATAAAATCTCTGGATTGTACTAATGGCCTGTCCCTCTGCAGGCAAGGAACAGCAACTGCTGGTAGGGCACAATCTACTTCAGTATTGACCTGAGCATATTCTATACTGCAAGGGGGTGGAAAAAGTTTTTTGTAGACTTCTAATGTTTATCACTGCACTAAAATAGGACCTGAAAAGGAGGGATGTTAGCCTGCAGCAGGGATGGGGCACAGCAACAGCACCCTCAACTTGCTGGGGTTCTGGAGAAAAAATGCTATCCAGATTGGAGAGTTCTCAGTCAAGTCTTTGAACCAGACAGAGTTGGATTGTAATTTGACTGAGTAAGAAGATATATTTCATTTTGCTAAACCTTTTGACAGAACCAAGATGGTCCAGTTCACAAAAAGCCTTCTTGACTTTGGTCAGAGAATGGCTGTGCTTGGGGAGACCAAGATGGCCTCCAACTATGGCTGGGAAAACTGAGCCCCTACCTTCTGGCAGTAGGGAAAACCATGGTGCAGCAGACATGCTGTGCTCCACATATGATACACTTTGGAAGGATCCAGGCTTGTTGCCCTTGGCATGGCTCTAGGCATGTGTCACAAGTTCCCACTCTGCCTTGGCTTTGCTTATTGGTATGCACTGAGCCTAGCACATGGGCAGCTCTACTACCTTTTTCTCTTGGGACCAATGCAGTGTGCATGGTATACACATGCTGGTATTTGCCCTACAGCACTCGCTAGCATAGTCATGAGGCTGTGTAGGTAGATATAGAAATACTCTAATACCAAGCAAGTGAGGTTCCCTGGCTTACATGCTGTGGATAAGATTAGATTTCTAAAGCCTCTGTAGGCTTTCCTGGGTGTATCCACATGCTGGGCCCTCCATCCTTTTCCCTGCCCCACTTTGCTCAAGCAGGCCTATGAAGTGAGGAAGACTTTGACAGAGGGGACCTGATCCAAAACCCATTCAAGATGATGGGGCTCTTGGTAACATGACTTTTGACAAGTGGTTTTAGAGAAAGTACAGAGAGCAGAGTTTAACATGACAACTCTGGAGTGGAAAAGGACTGGATTGGATAAACAGTAGAGTGAGAAGCTTCTTCCCCACAAGGAGAAAGCCAGACTCTACAAGAAAATGATCAAAAGTGTTTTTGTGTCTTAGTCCTGTGGGTCCTCACTGACAAATGCTCTAAGCCTGGAACTAGTGGAGCAGTTTTCTTTCAGAAGTCACCAAGGTAGGCACCACTGCTTGCCTTGACTTGTTGAAAACTTCTATAAACATGAAGTTTGTCTGTTGTCCCTCATTTCTTCTGCTGGTCACTACAGAGACAGATAGCAACACCATAGGTTTTCATCGGTGCAACCAAAATTGTCTGTTCTC